GGGGTTCAGGGGGATGACCCCCGCGTTCGGCTCCTTAGGGTTCAGGGGGCTGACCCCCCCGGTCGGCTCCTTACGGTTCAGGGGGCTGACCCCCGCGTTCGGCTCCTTAGGGTTCAGGGGGCTGACCCCCGCGTTCTGCTCCAAAGGGTTCAGGGGGCTGACCCCCGTGTTCGGCTTCTTGGGGTTCAGGGGGCTGACCCCCGCGTTCGGCTCCTTGGGGTTCAGGGGGATGACCCCCGCGTTCGGCTCCTTAGGGTTCAGGGGGATGACCCCCGTGTTCAACCAGTTGAAACGTTATGCGGCAACGTCGAAATGAGCCGCCGTCACCGACGGCCAGCGCATATCTCTCCCCGCGCTGAACCGACTGAAATCCCGCGGTACCGCGTCGCGCCGGTAGATGTCGCGGGTATCGCTTTGATTATCCTGTTTTCTCCCGCTCCCGTTTTTCCCGGAGAAATCTTAAGAAGAATTTAATTTTATGTTCTCACCCTGATTAGGGTATGTAATTTTTGCCTTTGCTTTGCCCAGCCTTTCTATCATTTGTTTTCTAGTTGGTTTTTTCTGCTTTATTTTCACGTCTCTCATTAATTGGATTGGCATGGCTCTAACTAGGGTCCCCTCTGGGTCCATGTCCAATTCGTAAGTATTCGATCTCTTGCCATAACTACTGGCTTCCAGTAGTCACTCACCTCTCGGCTCAAGCTCTCTCTCTCCTGCTGGATTCCAGCAGCTAAGTAAGTATTTTCTCATTATAAGTTTTCCCTGCTGGTTCCCAGCAGTGTTTAATTTTCTCTTAAGTAGGTCTTTTTTTTTTTTTTCGGTTTTCCTACTGGATTCCCAGTAGAGACTTTTCCCTCTGGTTTCCAGAGGTGCCGCGTTTTAGTTAGGTTTTCTTTGCTCTCATTAAAAGGTCACTTTAAAATTCGTATAATTTCGTTTAGTTTCTTAGTAAGGCTCTTCCAGCCATTCGTCAGTTAGTTTTCTTGGCCTTCCGCCTCTTATGTAAAACTTCATTTCAATCAACTCATTCATCTCTTAGTATTATTTTTCGATCACGATCTCGCCTCAAAAAGTTAGGGAACCCAGACTCGTTCTGAAGCCGGCTCCGCGCAGCCTGGTATCCTTTAACACAAAAACTCATACAGTCCACGCCTCTCAGTTATTTTTTTTTTCGATTTTTATTTGTTTTATTATTATTAATGGTTTGTCCTGCCCGACAAAATTTGGTCCCTCGGGCCGGATATCTCTTTTAGTTGTTTTGTAATTTTCTATGAATCAGTAAAAAATGGAAAATGACCTCTCTTCCTCTCTTGATCTCTCTGTACGATCAATTATGTCGCTCCTCGACTTGTCATAGTCTCGATCTACGATAAGTCTCTCTAAGCTCTGTCCGACGCCTGCGCTGTTGTCGCGACTACCCCCCTCTCTCTCTCCTCGGCGCTCTCCGTCTCATCGGCTCACGACGTCCGTATCCGGCTCTCTCTAGCAGCGGACTTCGATAAGCGCCTTCAACTGTAAGTCACGCAATTTATGCTTCACGGCATACCTCCGCTGTACGCTCTATATTATTGCTACTTAAGTTGTCGTATCCTCACCTCAGTTCAAAATGAAATATGCTGTTTACTCTCGCCAAAGCGCCTTACTCATTAAGCGGCTGGCGTTCATAAAAGAAACCGCTAAAAAACTTAGTCATCCCTTGAGTTCGCTCCTCATCCATCAAATCAAGGCATATAAGGAGGAGGTGCATTCGAAGTATAACTCATACCTGGATTTATATAAAAGGCTTATGTACCAGGATGACCTCCCCGAAGATTATAATGAAGATGAGTTCGACACTCTTGACATAAAAGTGAACGAAGAGTATGCTGCTGTCACGGCATTGCTCCTTACCTTGCTCCCGGACGAAACCCCCCCCTCTACTCCTAATGCGAATAACACTACGGGTACATTTTTGAACAAGTCCTCCGTCCGATTACCAAAATTAACGTTACCTAAATTTGCTGGTGACATAGAATCGTGGATCACGTTTCAAAATCTCTTTGAGTCTACTATTCATAAACAGGATTCTCTAGACAACATTGAAAAGTTTCAATATCTTTTGGGATGCCTTTCCAGCGAACCCCTCATTCTTATCAAGCATTTGCCCCTCACTTCAGCAAATTACACTATCGCCTGGGATACTCTCACTAAACGATATAGCAACAAAAGACGGATTGTAACCTTTCATATCGGCAAGATCATCGATGCAGCTCCTGTCTCTATGAGTTCCGGCTCCTCTCTCCGAACTTTCGTGTCTTTTTTGTCTAGCCACATGGACGCTTTGGATGCGCTTGGTCAAACTCAGAATGATGACAATTCTGTATTGACTACAGTTATCCTACGGAAGTTCGAACCCGAGCTCAGACAACGATTCGAGGAAGAAAGAAAAGACGCTTTAGTTTTTCCCACTGTCTCCGAAATTGTGGACTTTTTGGAGGATTTGGCTCGACAATTGGAGGACTCTATGTTGGGTCTCGGCAAGGAAACTCGCAAGTCTTCCAAGCCACCCAATAACTCTCCTCAACGCCCACCTAAAGCTGCTCTGCACGCCTCTAAATCTCCAAATTTCAAGTGCTCTCTGTGCAAGAGCAACAATCACAGCATCTATAAATGCTACAAATTCTCGGATCTCTCGGCAGAAAAGCGCAGGGAATTTATTAAGAGTGCTGGCAATTGTTTCAATTGTCTTGGTACCTCTCATTCAGTCGCTCAGTGTGGCTCAAAGGTTACTTGTCATACTTGTAAGGACAGACATCACACCTTACTCCATCGCCCTTCTTCGAATGACAAACAGGGTGACTCCACACTGACCACAAATGGCTCAGGGCCCCCCAAATCTGCGCATACATGTGCTTCCCAGCATAATACTACACAGATTGTGCTGTTAGGCACGGCTCTTGTCCTATGCAGAGACTCAAGCGGGGAACTTCAAACAGTACGCGTGATGATCGATAACGGATCACAAATCAGTGCTATAACAGAAAAATGCGCTAGGCGGCTTGGACTCAAAATTCAACCTTTTCAACAGCGCTTATCGGGCCTCTCGAATTCCTCCGTGCCCAACCCCATCGGCCGCTCTGACTGCACTCTCATCTCACGCACTCAGCCATCATCACAAATTAAAGCTTCAGCTCTCGTACTGAAATCAATTGCAGGACCACAGCCTCCCCTCAATGTAGCTGCTTCTGTAATAGCCCAAGTCAACTCTCTGCAACTCGCTGACCCTGACTTCCACAAGACTTGCGAAATCGATTTTCTCCTCGGAGCTGATTTGTATGGTGACGTCATGCTGGGTGAAAAGCTCCAAAATCAATCAAATCCTCATTGTTACTCATCAATTTTTGGATGGGTCCTCATCGGAAATGCTCCTGCATCTGACTCTCGATATTGTCATCTCAATTTTGTCTCATTTTTGACTACTCTCCGACCCCTTGATAATGCTCTCTGCAAATTTTGGGAAATTGAAAGCATCTCTCAGAAAAGGGCTCCTGACCCTGCGGAAACAGCTTGTGAAAATTTATTCGCTCAGCAGCACTCTCGTACTCCGCAAGGCCGTTATGTAGTGCCCCTCCCCTTTTCTGGTGACCCAAAAAATCTCGGCTCCAATCGAGCTCTAGCTCTCAAACAATATTTATCATTGGAAAGAAGGCTCAAAAAGGACCCTCCTCTTTATGAAGCCTATCAAAATTTTTTCTCTGAGTATTTGAGTCTTGGTCATATGAAGCTCGCAGATAAGCCCTCCAAATACATCATACCACATCATCCAGTCATCAAAGAGTCCTCTAGCACCACTAAGGTCCGCGCCGTATTTAATGGTTCGGCTCGTGATGAAAATCAGCGCTCTCTCAATGATTTTCTAATGAAAGGACCTAAACTGCAACGGGATATTCCGGATATTATCTTCAACTTCCGCCTGCAACCGATAGCTCTCAGCTGTGATATCAAGATGATGTATCGGCAAGTTCTAGTTCGAGACGAAGATTGCCAGTATCAACACATATTCTGGCGCCCTCATCCTGAGTCTGAAATTCAGGAATATGAGTTACTGACTGTAACTTACGGGCTCACCCCATCAGCCTTCCTCGCTCAGCGCTCGGTGAGACAACTATCTATTGATGAAAAGCCAGATTTTCCTCTAGCATCAAAATCACTGCATGATTATACTTATGTAGATGACATCACAACCGGATCTTCTAATGTCCATTGCACTATCCGACTCAAGGACGAATTAATCGGCATCGCAGATAAGGGAGGTTTTACCCTCCATAAAATGGCCAGTAACTCCCCGGAAGTCATGGCAGACATACACCCGGATAGGCGCGCCACTTTTATCAGTATAAGGGATTTCGAAGATGGTTTCCTATCGGTTTTAGGCTCCGGTTGGATTCCAGAAATAGATTCGTTCATTTATAGGATATCTACGTATCCCTCAGACACACCTGTCACCAAGCGCTCAGTTCTATCCTATATTGCTCGTGCCTTCGATCCTTGCGGTTGGTTGGCCCCGGTCATCTTTTGGATGAAACACTTCATGCAGCTGTTGTGGCGACGAACTCTCGACTGGGATCAACTCGTAGAGCCTGATCTGCATAAGCTCTGGATGCAGTTTACTAGTGAAATGCACCAACTTGAGAACTTCAAAGTCCCTCGCCTCCTCATCTCTCCTCACTCAAAGGACTTTCGTTTAGTAGGATTCTGCGATGCCAGTCTCCTTGGCTACGGTGCCGTGTTCTATCTGGTGTCATCTCGCTCTGATGGAAATTTCGACTCGAATTTGATTTGCGCTAAAAGTAAAGTCGCTCCTTTATCGCCAACCCTCACCATCCCTCGTTTAGAACTCTCCGCAGCTTTGCTTCTCGCGCAACTTTTGCAGTCTCTCGAGGTGCATTTTGACTCGCTCAGTCTAACTGAAATTCTCCTCTTCACTGACTCAACTACTGTGCTGGGATGGCTGCAAAAATCCCCCCATCTACTGCATACTTTTGTCTCCAATAGAGTTAGTCGAATAATCGAAATTTGCCCCTCCGGAATTTGGCACCACATCTCCACGGATTTCAACCCAGCCGATTTACTCTCCCGAGGTGCGACTCCCTCTGCACTCCTCGATTCTCCCCTGTGGCTCCATGGACCCCCTTTCCTGCGTCAACGCTTCGACTCATGGCCGCTGATGCCTGCAACCTTACCGGAAGAACTGCCTGAGATAAAGCAATCATATGCGGTAACAGTTCCGCAAAATTATAATTTCTGGATCGAACTCTTCTCTAAATTTTCCTCATTATCCAAGCTCGTTGGAACCATTGGATATATAAGGCGCTTCGTAATGCTTACTCGCAAGTCGCGCTCAAACCATCCTCATCACTCCTCAACCATTCTCACTCCTGAGGAACGGGACTCTTCTCGCGACTTCTGCGTGCGAATCACTCAACGTTTTCATCTCTCCAAGGAAATCCACACAATCGAATCTCAAGGTGAATGCCCTCCCACCTTTGCCTCTTTATCTCCTTTTATTGACTCCCTGGGTCTTCTCAGGGTAGGCGGTCGCTTGAAACATGCTAATCTCCCTTTAAATGCGAAGCACCCCTTTCTGATTCCCCGAGAATCTCACTTGGCTCAGTTAATTTGTCACCACTATCATAATATTAATTTTCACTCTGAAATAACCTCCACTCAAGCAGCTATCCAACGGAACTACTGGATTATCGGCATTCGGGGACTGCTGAAGAAGGTAATACACCAGTGCATCCGGTGTTACAAGTACAAGGCCCGATCTTTCCAACCTGTAATGGCGGATTTACCTCCCATCCGATTCTCTCAAATTAGATGCTTCTTGAACGTCGGAGTCGATTATGCAGGACCGATGCACATCAAAGAACATAATAGGAGAAACGCTCGAATTTCTAAAGCTTGGATCTGTATATTTGTTTGCCTATCCACTAAGGCTCTACACTTAGAATTGGTGACAGAATTAACGGGCGCCAAATTTATGGACGCTCTTGATCGTTTCATGGCCCGACGAGGATTATGTCAACGAATTATGTCTGACAATGGAACTAACTTCACTAAAACGGCTCGTCATCTCCGAGAAGTTTTCCAATTCCTCGCCAAGCATCAAGATGAAATAAGCGAGCACCTTTCTCAACGAAATATTCGTTGGTCCTTCTCAACGCCTTGCGCGCCATGGACCGGGGGAATCTGGGAAGCTGCAGTAAAATCGGTGAAGCATCACTTACGCAGGTCTCTGGAGCCTCATCCTCTCACTTATGAAGAATTCTCTACAGTGCTACACAAAGTCGAAGCCATTCTTAACAGTCGCCCTTTGTGCCGTCTGTCCTCAGATCCAAATGATGGAATCGATTATCTGTCACCCGGCCATTTTATCATCGGTGCCCCCCTCACGGATGTCCCTGAGTATGATTATTCAGTTACTCCCTTGAACCGCCTCGATAGATGGGAACTCCTTAGGAACCTCCATCAAGCTTTCTGGAAGAGGTGGTCCAATGAATATTTGCATTCTCTTATGCCCCGAGAAAAATGGCGAAACCACCAATCCCCTCCTAAGCCTGGAGATCTGGTGTTTGTACTTGGTGAGTCCTCCCCACCGAGAAATTGGCCTCTTGGACGTATAGTGAAACTTCTCCCCGGGCGAGATAAAACCCCTCGCACCGCCGAAGTCCATTTCAATGGCACGAAGCTCCTGCGCCCTCTTCGCAAATTGGTTCCACTACCAGACCCATGAACGACCTCCTCGTTCTCGCGCGAAATTTGCAAATTCTAACGAATTTCTTTTGCATTGCTCTCATTTTTACTCTTTAAGCTCGCTAAGATTTTTTTAAGTTTGAACTTTAGTACTCAGACAAAAGATATTTTTCTTTTTTTTTTTTCTCTCTTTCTGTAATCTCTTGGAATATCTTACCATTCTGCACTTTTAGTAATCGTTTGTTGCTCTGTTTGGGTTTTAGGTGTTTCTTCTGTAAGATGGATGAATTGGATCTCCTTTCCGACTTCAACGTCGATCAAGAGACTATGGAGTTAAGTGGCTTGGCAGATCCGGTACCAAACTCTTCGGTTGCCTACTCTGCCCCTCCGCCTGATCCGACGCAACGGCGAAGAACTATCCCTCTACCATTGGGAAGCATCTTCCCGAGGCCGGCAGCTCGCTCTCCTCCCCAGGTCCGTCGTTCCGCTCCACCCAATCAATTCCGTCGTCTTAAGGAGGATCCTGCCCTCGCCACCGTCGTGGCGCTGAAGGGGTGGAAGCGGAAGGTGCGCAAACCTAGAGCACACCCAGTTCCCGCTGAGAGTGCCCATTCGTCGCCTGTCAACTCGGCTCCTCACCCTAAGGCCGACTTACCGCCTGTTGAGCCTCCTTTCGAGTTGCCCAAAATGATGCCGCCTCCGCGACCTCGTCGCGAGACTCAAGCTCCACCTCGGTCAGACACCCCTCCACCAGACGAAGGGTATGATCTGATTTCAGAATCTGACGCTCAGGAATCTGCCTTCTCCGACCCTGAGGAAAACGGCTTCATCCCATTCCCTCAATCGGACCCAGCCGTACTCGCACGCCCTGAAGCCGCTATGCACCGCATACGGCGATTCCAACGTTTCAAATATCAAGCGAAACTTAAGGGAGAGAAGCTCCGTAAAGGTCCTCTTTTGAATTCTCGGCAACGAAGGAACCGCCGTCGGGCTCAAGAGCATCGCTTGAAGCATCCTCAGCCTACCAACCTTCGCCACGGAGCCACCTGCCCTCTCTGTCTCAAGGTTCACCCTCAAGGTGTCGTTCTCTGCGATCCCTCCAATTGTTAGTCTCTTAATCATTTCTCTCTATCTGTAATTAATGATCTCTTTAATGATGTGATCTCATCTCTGTTCAATGTATTAATCCTAGTGTTTAATTAAACTAAACAATGATTTACCAAGCTATCAAACTTCTTTTTTGTTCGTTCTCCATTTTTTGTTTGTTTTTTGGAAACTGGGTGTTTCCAACGGGGCGGGTATGTTCAACCAGTTGAAACGTTATGCGGCAACGTCGAAATGAGCCGCCGTCATCGACGGCCAGCGCATATCTCTCCCCGCGCTGAACCGACTGAAATCCCGCGGTACCGCGTCGCGCCGGTAGATGTCGCGGGTATCGCTTTGATTATCCTGTTTTCTCCCGCTCCCGTTTTTCCCGGAGAAATCTTAAGAAGAATTTAATTTTATGTTCTCACCCTGATTAGGGTATGTAATTTTTGCCTTTGCTTTGCCCAGCCTTTTTATCATTTGTTTTCTAGTTGGTTTTTTCTGC